AGGTTGCCCAGGCCTAGACAGGAGAACGATTAGGGTTCTCAACCAAAGCCTTTGGTTCAAAAACCTTACCGCAAGGCAGCGGGTTTTGGCACTGGACTACAAAGCCCGTTTTATGAAATGAGGAGCCACCCCCATTCCAACCCCCAACCTGGAGGACCAGGAGGCTGAGTTTGTCTGGCCTCTAACTATTGACCAATCTGGTATGAGTGGCTCTAAAGGTGCAAAAAAAAGCACCATCCAGCATAGCTCAATGGATCTCTGAGGCACGCAAACCATCGCACCACGGTAAGGTCCAGCTGTTGCACCTGGCGACTAAGTGTCGCAACTTGTGTTTGCAGGGCTTCTATGGTTGACTGTAAGCCAGTGATAGAAGTGCCCTGGGACGCGACGGCATGGACCTTGCTGGCGTTGGCTTGTGGCTGTGCTCGTTCAATAACTCGATCGGCTAAGTCTGATACTTGAGTGAGCGAAACGGAGCTCACTGTAGCGAGAATCGCTTGTGTGTTTTCCGGTAGCCGCTGTAGCCATAGTTCGCGAAGTAAAGTCTCGTCCATGGTTGATGAACCAAGGAGTTGCTGTATCTCCCGTAGCAGGGTTGAGGGCAGTTTGTCGCCCAGCTGCAGATCCCTGAAAAGCTGCTGCAGGCGAACTTTCTCAGAGGGCATAACACGCTTAATCGTGGCTTCCTTGAGAGCCTCATAGCGGTTTTCGGTCTGAGAAATGATGATGTCACGAACCTGCATTGATATCTCCTTGGGGAGATAGGACAGGAGCTTGCAGTACTTCGCATAGTCGGAAGTGATTCTGTGGTTATAAAACTCGGCCTCAAGAAGAGCGAACCACAAAACAGGATCCATGTCCCAAAAAGGTGGAACTGAGAGAGTTACAGCGCTTAGTAGAGACTCTACCTTATGGTCTACAGATTCCATGGCTTAAAAAATGATGCAAAAATAGGCTACCGTATGCAAAAATCAAACCGGAAAATATGAAAAATAAATGGAACGAGCTCACCGGAGAAAAGTTCGAAATATCCGGCGTTGAGATTGTTCCGGATCCGCGGTCACCAATTTAGAGGGTTGCCTATTCCGGGAGCCCAGAGAGCGATTCCAGAAGACAGATCGAGTTGCAGGGAAACTTTTATTGGTTCAGCGAAAGATTCCCTGTTAGCTAGCTATAAACGAACGACACCGTGGACGCTCTAGCTAGGGGAACGGATCAAGCACAGCACACAGAGCAGTCGCGCGTTGCAACCGAAGCGAGCGCCAAGCAAAAATGGCGAAGCGGTAAAATAATAATCCAGAAAAACGCTTCCATTTATAGATAACGGAGAGGAGTAGACAGGTAGATGGCGGCGCAGATGCACGGTTCGCATGACGAATGGCCAAGGTTCACTTCAATGGGAATCGCGGTCTACTTTGAGATTGCGCGTTGCAATCCATCCACACAACGTGTACTTCAAATTTACTTTCCAATCTGTTATTTGCCGTTGTGCCAAGCTTTGCCCGCCGGGACCCGGTGGCTTAGGGGTGGCGGTCACAACTAACATCTCAATGGTCCCGGGTTCGATGCCTGCTATCTCTATCTGATGAGAGGAATTAACCTCGAAACGCGTCATGGAGTGCAGTGGTTTCAGGCGGGCAACACCCAATTTGCTGCTGCTTCATCAGCTACGGTCCTAGTGATCGAATGGCCAAGGTTCACTTCAATGGGAATCGCGGTCTGCTTTGAGATTGCGCGTCGCAATCCATCCACTCAACGTGTACTTCAAATTCACTTTCCAATCAGATAACTCCTTTATTCATGTATTTAATTTCATGCAACTTCCAACACCGAAAATCCTTAACTTTCCGTTCTACCAACCGATATGCACACTTTAATCTGCGGTACTTCACTTCTCTGCTTAGACTCGCACACTACTAGGGTCAAGTTATCACAGAAATTACTATAGGTCAAAACTGAAGGCTTCGGCGTGATACGATGGTGGAATGCTGTTTGTCCATACAAACGAAGTGACTGTTTGGGCAACAAGATCGAGAGCCCTAATCATCAGCGGCAGTTGATTGCTCCCGACTGTTTGTCTCGTTACCACTTAGTTACCGGTGTGAATGTCGGGAATTTTCGACTGCGGCTTCTGTAAGGCAGAGAACCGCGTATTCTTCAGTCATCCCAAATGTCGTAAAGGTTATTAACCCACTGGCATCTCCAATTCAGTTGCATGCAGCCATTAAATTGTTGCAGGGGAGTAAATAGATGATTGTCATTGCCAATGATTCTCAAAGTATGTGGAACGAGGTCACAGTGATTCATTGCTTGAACGCCGGTGGCCAAGTTCGTAAGCAGTGAGTACATTAACCGCCATTGGACGTCGATGTGACCTGTTGCCTTTTCTCTCGCAGGTTTCTGATTTGACGATCAGACCGAGGCCACTCCACTCCAATTGGACGACCGTGTTTGCAGAGTGTTGCCGCAAGAATGAAATGAAGGAAGTACTGTGTGCGTTGCAAGTGGTGTTCCACAGCTCTCCCACAGTTCATTGGTTCAACGATACATTAAAGAAGTGAAATTCCGTAGCGCAGAGGCTGTCCATTAGTCGCTGTCAAATAGTAACCAGTGTTTTAATTTATAGGTAAGTTTAGTTTGGCTCTCCTTATTACTCGAATCTTCCAAGATTAACTGTTCTATCATCACTTTGATTAATACCACTAACTCCCTAACAGTGACTTGTAGACAGTTAGGATTACTTTAAGTCCCACCTGTTTGAGTTGTCTCCTTCATATACCCATTTCTGTAAAGAAGGTTAACAAAGCGAAGCCGCCGTGGTTTCAATCAGCTGCACGTCGACAAATGAACAGGAGTTCCCCTGCTGGCGGACTTATCGCTCTGCTTCCACATTTCGCGATTTTCGGCCCACTTGAGCACATTTCCCCACTACTTGACTATGCTATGAAATGGAGCTGTGCGACTCGGCTTCAGTAAATCCAAAGCGCTTGGCCTATGTCAGAGCAGGACTGATATAAACTCACTCCTTCCAGTCTCCTATGGTTCCGACGGCGCTGATGCTGACACAAACCAGGCCAAAGACTGTCTGTCTACGGAACAGTATGCGAGGGTATTTGTTACGGAATCCGATTTGTCGCCTTTTGATTTGGAGACCGTATTTCCGATTCGCTGACCGACGTTTCTCTTCGTGAGACTCAAGTGCTCATGATATTGCGGGAACAAAATCTTAGCAAAGCGATTTGGGCAGATACTATTCACACCATTAGATGAACTAGCAGCTGAGATTTGTGGGGCGATCACGTTCCTGCTTGAGAAAATCAATGATTCGTACTTTCTGACTGAAGATGAGCGGTGGTATACCTTATTCTCAAGAATCGTGACAACCACAATCCTAAAATATACGAACCTGTTAGTTTGACTAGCATACTGGTGTAATTACTAGAGAAGCTGGTGGGAGATGCCCTTCTAAGTCAGCTAGTCTTAATTTAATGCAAGTGAATTTTCTGCATGAGATAGCGACGAAACGTAGTAGACCGCTCAAAATATAGTCACTTGGCAGCTGTACACTGTCTTCTGAGTGGAAAGAGATTGTCATCAGTACGATGCTCAAAAACGGGCCATTATAGACCAATCAGTCTGACAAGTATCGTAGACAAACTGCTTAATTAGCTAATGAGAGGTTCCTTAAAGGGTGATCTGGATAAATTTATTCTAATCAGCGGTGCACAACACTGATTCCGGATGGGATTTGCGTGCCTGCAGAATTTATTGGTATCCCGTGAGTATTGTGCTTATGCAATGGACAAGGAACACGAGGTGAACGTTCTCTTCGAAAACATTTGACATGATCCCTTGCTTGTCAAAAATACGGAGCTCTTACGATTTAGCTAAGCTCGTTCTTCACTGGGTATCTGCTTTATAGCAGGAACGAGAACAGTGTGTATGGCAAGCGGTCCTTAGCGGTAACTCAGCACTCGATCCTAGGAACGATGCCGTCATCCATTTATTTAAACTCCATGGGCAGCTTGGGGTATCATCGCTATTGTTTGCTGTTGACTTACGTCCGGTTTTTACGGATGTTACAGTTTATACGTCGTTCTTTCTGTGTCTTAACTGCCGACGTCTTGGTGAAGCCTTTTTCAAAGCCTAATTGACGCCCTCGGTTTGTAGCTACAACTCTTCCCTTCACATCTTGGCTGAATTACAATTTTCCATTTCCGTTTTCGTGTATTGATTCTCCTTGTTTATTTTATGTTCTATTGTTTAGTTAACTTTTTTCTTTTCTTCCATTTTGTGTTATTTCCATTTCGCGTGACTAGGAAAGCGTGGTCTGCCGGTGCAGAACACGTGGGTATTGATTGTTTGAGCGCGGTGCGATCCACGGGTGCCGATTATTCACTCTCAGGAGACAAGTTGATTCGCCGTAACGTACCCCGGATCAATTACGCTTTCACGATAGAACATCCATGGGATTATCTTATTGTTCATATCGCATTTGAAATTGAACTACGGAATTACACAACTGACATGACAACTTAGCACCTTGAGTGGAGTAACTGTGGTCTTGCAACACGCTATCCCTCTAGATGTTTGACCATTGATGTTTATCGACCGGAAGTATTCTAAAGTGACAGCTTTAAAAACCGGACTCCTTGGTGCTCTGGCAATATTCTCCTGAACACAACGCATGATCAGTGCTTGTATGAGGTACAACTTGGCCGTAGTAAGACGCGAATGTGACGCCTGTATGTGAACGCCACTTTGTCGCATCGAATAATCACGACCGCACAGGTTTAAGTCGATTGCACTAATAGCATGCTATGACAAGCGTCGGCATCCACGATACAGTCGTTTAGAGGTTGTGGCTTAAACAGATCCCAGCAGCATGGGTTCAAGTCGCAGTGCTGCTAAAAGGAGCTTACAGTCATATCAGCCTCAACGCGAAGTCCGTTGTCCTCATGACAATTTGTGACAATTTATTCACATGGCGTGTGCTTTCAATGCTAGGTCTGATGCAGTTTCTTATGAACCGTTATTACATATGCTTGGAAAGTAAACCTCTGCTCACATTATATGCTGGCATGCGTGCATCCTCCATCTCAGTCAACATTTGCTTAACCAACTTGCATGATATTTTTGGTGTTACATTTCGAAGACCCAATACTTCCCACGGAATAACGTCGGTCATAATTGGAATCTCATCACCACGAAAAGAAAGGAGTATTCTGAAGGTGAGGGACGGTCTAGTTACCCCCTCGATACTGATACCGTAGTGTCCGTTGATCTGTCAAAGTCCAATTATCTAAGTGGATACAAAATCGAATTAATTGCTGAAAACTTGGCAGCAGATAATTTCTTTGATACAAAACCAGTGGTATGCTTTAATTGTTTGCCCTACGGTAACGTATTCCTGTCGATCAGCGAATGAAGAACCATCGGAAAATAATTTCAAAGCGTTCAAGCATTCTTCAGATGAACGGTGCACTTACTTTAGAGCCAAACCGTGAACTCGTTTTTGAAGGTGTCAACTTTTGTGTTGCTCACAACCTTTAAGGGATACTGGATAAACCCATATCATCCACAGTCCGCCTGACCAATGACAGCATCGATAATGTTTACTTCCACGTTCGAGCTGCATCCAGTGACCTCCAGATTCGTCCGGATTCAGGCATTCTTAAATCCGGAGAGAAGGAAGAGATAACAGGTAGTCTATGCAATGTATTGCATAAATTTCATTTTATAGTCTTCTGGAAGCCAATGGAATGGAACTATACAGATGTTTTACGTGATCGAATTATTATAAAATCATCAAGAATGTATAACGGACAATCCTTTAAATATGGAGAATGGTAGGTGTCCAAATACGGATAGACTAGTGGTATAGTTTCCGGTTCTTCATGAAAATTTCATTCAGAAGATAGACACCATCCTCAAATCTGCGGTTGGTGTACCTGAATCGGTGTTAGCGGTAAGCTGTAGACGGTTTTAACTTTTGTATCCACGCTATGGCATTTTGGCGTAACTTGCTTTCTATACACCGATACTTGCTTAAATCTACACATGTTCCCATTGTCAATATTTTTGTCCAGCAACCGAACTTGTTCGACAATTGCCAAACTACCTCAATGACACCGATACTGACTGAACTCGCTGATCTACGCCGGGAGGTTAGACGACTGCAGGTGTGTTGCCGAAAGTGCATTATCCATTTCACAATTCATGTGTTAGATTTTCTTTGTCTCACTCGTCCCACTAATTGCGCCCACTGCAGTCACTCATGCTGTACTGCAACCAGTAACACCGTATCATTGCAAAATGCAGACAATGAATTAATTACCACGCGCATGAACTGGTACTTACATAAAGCTTTCATTCCGCTCAACTTCCCCTCTTGATTACTGTCTGCCTATTTCTCCGCGAACGACACTGATCGGTGCTGATTTTACTGGAACGTTGGCTATGCTTTCACGATATCGTGTGATTCGCTTTCCTGTAAGATTATGTAGATCCGTCATCTAATTTTGGCTCTTACGTGTGACTTCGTACAATGAATTTTGTTGTATCATTCCCCCTTTAACATAAGGGGCCAAGCAATTTTAAATTATTCATGCATCTGTTAGAGCGAGGTGACGTCAAGTCAACTTAATCTGCATTTTATATGCCCTCGATCAGACATGTTTTTAGCGTTTTATATACTACGCCTGCTCTAAAATAAACCGCATTAAAAAGGTCAAATTGTACAGCTTAAAAAATGGTATTAAGAGCAAAATGCTCACTTGAATGATTGGTCCCCATTCTGCATCCTCTGGAGAGTAGATTGTCAAGGCCAGTCGATCGATCCGATCGAATGTACCTCAATTCACAAATTACCCAGTATCCAGAAGCCTATATAAAAAAATCGACGGAGTACAGCACTAGTGTGCTTGTAACTAGTCTAACCGAAGGAAATCTCAGGAATATTTATTGAGAGCGATCGAGTCAAAGACCCTCCAACGGGGTTTTGTGTGAGACCAGCCTGGAAAATGCAAGCCAGTAACATTTCACGAAATGTTTAAAAGCATTTTAATCTGAGCGACATGCGTTTCTAAATTCTATGGTATGCGAATCTGCTTTTATTTCCGCATTTTGCTGCTTCTAAGGTTGGTTACTCTTCCAGGGGTCTGTAACTCAGCTGTGTTTCACACGAACTTCTATTTGCGAGTTACTGAAGTTCCAATGTCAGTAAGCATTGCTTAGTGCAATCAGGTGTGCTATATTTTCCCACATTCCTTTGCATTCCACATTAGCATGTGATCTCAGGTTGTGTTCACTTTATAGAGACAGACCTCTCCCTCAACCTGTGTCCAAGTGTCTAGGAGACGAACACTCAATTTGATTTTCCATTAGCTTGTACACAACCGAATAACGATTGCCTTCCCCAGTGAGGGGAGAATATTTCAGAGATGCAGTATCTATTTTTCTGTCGATTACACATAACTGCAATGTTATACTATACGCAATCAGCAATTGTACGTGACATGGATGGACTCAGCTGTGATTACACAGAGTTGTTCAAGAGTTTCAGGTGTGAATTTACGTGTCATGCACCTAATAATGATACATGAAATTCACATTTTATTGTTGGATTGTATGTGAATAAACAATTTCATCCCTCCTAATTGCCCCCTCCAGCTTCCGGATTCATGCTCTCGTTGCAGAGCTTCGCTCAGTGCGACGCGAGCAGAGCTCAACCAGCTACGCGATGAGTTGGAGCAGCTCAAGATACGCGACAGACGGGAGTGATGAACCGCAGTTCATATGTATTCGTGTTATTGACCTGAAACATGCATCCATTGTCATTTCGCGTTTTCGTGTAACCGCGTAGAGCTTATGAGTAGTTCAGAGTAGTATGGAAGTCCGACCAGGGTCTGCATGCCTATTCTGTGTCGAAGCAGCACCACCACAAAATTTTTCCGTGTGTTGAAATAGCAAATGTGTCGCGGGGAGAAAGCAACCGCTTAACGTGTCCCGCAGATACAAAGAATAAACCCAGAAATAAATGTGCGTTCAAGTGGAACTAGAGCGATATGAGTATCCCGTGGGCGTTCCTTCTTCAGCGGGTAAGTGAATCAGAAATCGATTAAGGGACTAAAACAAACCCGCAGCACACCCTGCTCAGCCAAGTACTGTCCACAGGTTCTTCACTAGCAGTCCCTGCTGGGCGGGTTATGTGAAGTAAGCAAATGGAAACAGTTTAAGAATAATGCGAGAATGGGAAATTAACTAGAAGCTTATATTAGTAAGATACCTGAGGAACGGAAAACAGAAAGCTTTGAAGACGAGTCAGTTAGGGGAAAGCAAAGCTTTGGTGTTGCCACCCAAAAGCATCGAGCTGATGCGCATAACCCTTTAACCGTAGATTCCCTAACCGCGTGATCTGGAAGCGTGTTCCAACGCATTAGAACTCTGCGCGGCTTTTGTAGTGTCAACGAGTGATCGCCGGGACCAGAATACGGGATACAGCTATCCCTGTAGACCCTGCACGGATTTAGTAGCTACTCGTAAAACTCCACTTCAAGTCCATTTGCCCTGGATTGCACATGATAGGATGGATGCATCAGTGTCCAGATTTGCCTATCACTGTGGAATCCACGGAGAGAGCCACAGAACGCTTGCACCTACAGAGGTACCATGGGTGGCTTTTGTTGCACCACCCACAGTTCCACCCACAGACCTCGCCTCCAGTGTAAACCAGAAGTAATAAGACGGGCAGGCAAGTGGATGGGAGCCACGTTTTATAGTCGGAGCTAGGCCACACTACTTCAAGAAGCAGAACAGAAACTTTTCTGTTTAATTGAAAAATCATGCGTGACTGACGTACACAAGACGGTGGCTTGGCGTAACTCGTTCCACACAGGATGGGACCACTCTATGAATCTAACACCGTCACGAGGGCGGTACACTTCGTCCCCTCCAGCAACGACCAACTGTCTCCTGGAACCAGTATGGGCGAGGTGGTGGGAACACCTGATGGACAGGCCTGGTTATAGTACTTCAAGTGGGGTCGAAGAAATACCGAGAACGACTTCAAAAGTATAGCTGCCGATAAAACTCCGTAGGATCGACGTATTAACCACCTCATACGGAGCACCCTAACAGCAGCCTTTTGCCATCTGTCGCCAGAATCGAGGGCTGATGATTGGACGACATCTAAATCCACCTGCTTAGTGCAAACAGGAACTTCGCCACTGTCGACAACATATATTGTGGGAAGATTAGCAGATCCAATTCCAAGAACGGAACACTAGACTTCATTTTGGTGCATGAATCACAAGGCAGACCTATTCTAGAGCCTGTCCAAATCACTCCGAATTGCCTCAGAAGACCCATGGATGTCCACGGTATTCCAGAGCTTAAGATCTTCAGCAAACCTTAGCGATGGTACCACTAGATCCCCCGGCAATTCATCTACATAAATCTCGAACAGCAATGGCTCTAGTACCAAGCCCTGCGGAATGCCACTGTAAGTGGCAGTATATGTAATATTGGATCTTTAATCGAAGACTCACGCACGGATTGCTTTCCAGGACAAAAGGAGCAAAACTCGATGCAGCGAAAATCATAACCATGCTTCTATAATGGTAAATCTAAATGTGCTTAAATGAGTTACGACTAGGTTTGTAGAAGTGGCCTTAATGTTGCTCAGCAGTGAGCCGAAACAATCCTAGCAGTCTGTGTTTCTGGTCAGTGCTAAACGGGGCAGCAGTGAGACCGATAGCAGCGTCCAGCACGTCAACGGTGAAGCTCTTAATTGTGAGCCACTAGGACGGTGCTTCGGTTAACCACAGTGATGCGAATAAACACATGTCACGGTCGTGCTTTTTAATCCGTGTGATGGTGCACCAAGCAAAATAAAGTATATACATATGCTGACCAGTAGGAAAAGAGGGAGAAATATTCCACGCGTATTAAAAATGCGGACATATATCCCCTAAGACCTCAAGTGAGAGTTTGAGCTAAGGAAAAATCTTAAATCCTACCAAGATACTATGTTTATACGGTGGCTACCGCTTCGATCCAGCTTTCACGAGCTACAAGTAGGTTAGTCTGACATGGAAGTCGTTTACAGAAACCGTGCTGCGTACCGCATTCAGAAGGTCAAATTTGTTCAAGTGGTTCTGCACCGAAACCCTTACCAGCTTTACGAACAACTTTACTAATACGCCTGTCGAAATGATAGCTCGGTAGTTCGCGGGCGGCTTACTGTCACTGCTCTTAAAATCGGAGCAGATGATTGCCCCCTTCTATTCCGAATCTACGAAGTAGCTGTCAGACGATACTGAAAACGCGCGTGTGAGTGGACCACACAGCTTCGGGGGCAATTTATGCAACAACTTCGGAGGAAGAAGACAATGAGAAGACTGATATTGCGAGATAGAATCATTTCGTGTTATCTGCTCACTCGCAAATTAACAACATAACACTTAAAAATCGAAGATTTGAAACTGATCACAAAGGAAAATTATGTAGACGCAAGAATAACCGATCAACGTGCTTGATCTTAGGGTCATTAGCTCCAAGGAAGCTTCAAGGAGATTGTCAATTGCTATTGAACACAAAAGATAGGGCGATGCCGGTTAAGTGCCACCGCTTCAGCAAACCTCAATACTTTGGGGTTGTCATTTCGATAGCTAACTGTAAATGTTGACCTAGGGTCAACCTGATGGCCTGATTCAGTAGAGGTCTGACGATCGATGATGCCGGCAGCTTAGATACCTTTTCTCGTTCGGCTGCTGGTTGTGTCGATATTTGAGTAATCCGTTTTGAGATATGCTCTCCAATGTGCTTACCCAAGCATCAATCTGTTCTGCCAA